GACTCATAACCAACTCCAAAGCTACTGGTTCCGGTTTTTCTTCGGACTTCTCTACGGTACCAGACTTCCTGTGGAAGGTATTTAACAACGCTAACAAACGTGACAATAATTCCGCCTTTTTAGCCTCTTGTTCGACCGATTCACACTCCATTTGATCAATCCGATTCAGCGCATGGCTCAATTTAGTGGACAATTTCTGGGTTTCATTCACCATGGTACCACCTGTATACGAACCTAACAGAAAATCAATCTCGACACACTTCCTTTCTATGGCCGCTTCATCTTCCTCATAAGTAAACGGATATTTAGGGTATCGTACACTACTACCGGACTTCTCTAGTCTGAGGGCTGCCGAAAGAGTAGAACGCATTTCGTCAATTGTCCCAATTTGGACGCCTCGGAGTTGTAACTCCCAAATTAACTCATCCTTATCTAAACGATTCACCCACATTTTTCGGGACATCTTTAAAACCAGTGAAATTCACAACGACAATACCGATATAATTCAATAAATTTGCAGCACAAACAATTCCAGATAAGGGGTAGGATCAAGCCCCAAAAATCACGGTTCAATATATAATCAAATATTTCCAAAAAGTTCAAATATAAAGCAATTCAAAATAGTATCAGCTAACCTAATAAAATAATAAATGTTCGGAATTTCTTATTCTTCTTATTTCTTTCGCATTTCGCCCCACGTTGGGCGCCAAAATGTAACGTTAAAATTTTACCCCTTTAATAAAACTACAAAAATAAAACGGTAAATATATATTTTTGTTACTTAGGTGGATGACTTGAACATCCGGGCACGCGGCTATACTCAGATGAGACGGGAGTGAGTCAAAATTAAATGATATTTAAATATAAAACGGGCGCCAGTTAAGTTGACCAAGTGCCCTTAACAATATAATCTTATATCAACTCCCAACTTAACAAGGAATTGATAGTACACACTTTTCGTAACTCTATAGGTATTTAATTTAATACAATAGCGAAAGAAATAATAGAATACAATACAAAAAAAAATTGAGAGAAAATTAAGAAATAGAAAGATAATTATTAAGAAATTCCAAACAGTACGAGATAGCAGACACGGTATAAATCAAATTCGACTTACCGATGGTGATCCGGTCAACCGGATGGTTCAAAGTAAAACGAAGTTCTGCGAAGTCAATATACTATGGCGATACAGCTGGATCCTCCAATTGATCGATCAGTTGGGGTCCAGATCCAAAGGAATATCTATAATTCACAGAGTAATTACAAAACGGTAAAGGCGAGTCGAATTTTCGTTATTAACAAAAGAAAATTAATTAACTATCGTACTGAATTAAAATTTAACGATAATAAAATTGATACTATACGTGAAGATGAATTTAACAATAAGAAAAATGAAAGAAATTGAACTACGATGAATTAAATTTAAATAAATAATTATAATAAAACTTCTCCGAAAATGGTGGACGGATCCCACGTGGTGAAGTTCCCAAGGTTCCTGGTGACGGTCTGGGTATCACATAAGAGTCCAGATACTCGGGACAACAGGTGAACTTTGTCGAACCAACTATCGGTCGCAACTACAGGCGGTCAAAGTGACGCAGGAATCGGTCCCAGTCCAATCGGAAGACAGTTAAATACAAATAACCTCACGGAAGATCCAAGAAAATACGGATTGGAAAATTTAACCCAAAGTAATAGTAGTAATAAAAATTAATCCTAAGAAACACACAATTAATGATTGCAACAGGAAGGAAGACAAGACTTACCCCTAGTGTTCTAAGTCGGGGATCGAAACGTGATTGATTTGGTCAAGAGGATATAGATCCCGAATAACGGATTTAACTCACGTTAACGCCAAAAATATACGGCAAATCAAATAGCACAAGGCTCCAAACAACTAACGAAGTTAAATATATTCAGACAGACCGTAGAAAATCCGAGATGTTTCCCGATTACTAAAAATGTAATACCACGAGTCTGTCTGCCTCAAAGACCAAAATCAAAATGGAACCAGCGGAACCACGGAACAACCTAAATAACCCTTTAGAAGTGTCAATTACTCAGAACACTAACTCGTCAAGAACACAAAGACAAATGTCAATAACAATAAACAGAAGAATTTATTGTTGGACAAACGAACGTACTCGTAGAATCATTAACCCTAGTTATTCCAAAAGGTAAACAAATCTTCAATACAATCAATTAGTGAATTTAAAATGTGTAAAGGAATTAATGATTACTGTGGGGAGATTTTAGAACGTTACAGAACGTTGTTTTTGCTTCTGATACGGTCATTTTCAGCGCCTGGGCGCAGGTGACAGTGACCTTGTCTACGATCAGCTTGCGTTTGTTTTTCAGCTCCGTGCGGGAATTTGATTCAATTGTCACAGCCAGGTCGTTTGCGTATGCAATTTGGTGCGTCTGTTGTGGCCATTCTGAGTCAAGTAGTGAGTCCATTGTGAAGTTCCAAAGGGTCGGTCCCAGCACTGATCCTTGCGGGCATCCTTTGGTGCAGCGTTTTGTGGCAGTTATGGTATCTTGTTTGAGCTGAACTTCTCTGTTTGTTAAATAGGTTTTTAGTATGGCTATTATGTTGTGGTTCACTCCCCGGCGTCGCAGGTGGTGTATGAGCCCCGGCCACCAGAGGTTATCGAAGGCTCCCGAGATGTCGAAGAAGATTACTACCATGTGCGTAGCTGCAGTCGTATGAATCCTTCTCGTTAGGGCTGAGAGTGCGTCAGTTGTTGGTTGGACAGCTTCCTCTATTCTCATCCGTATGATTTTCTCAAAGATTTTCCCATGGACCGGGAGAAGAGTAATTGGCCTGTAGTTCTTGATGTCGTCCGTTCTCCACAGAGGGTCCTTGAGAAGAACCACTAGGTTTCCCCTCTTTCAGCTTTCAGGAAAGTAAGAGAGGTTCCAGCATGCGGAGTAGATCCTTGTCATCAGTTCGCCGATCCAGGGGTGTATCTGCTTTGCTATTTTTCCCTTCAGTCTGTCCGGTCCGGGAGCCTTGCTGTTGTCGATCTTGTCGGTTAGGTCCTGTACGAGCGCCTCGTCGATGTCCACCTTCCCCTGCTCTGTTGGGATGATGCAGTCGAAGTCTCGTTGCAGTCGTTCTTAACGATCGTTGTTCGTGTTGTTATCGTCATCTGGAAGAAGAGAGTGCAGTAAATAGTTGGTTGATTCGAACGCGTTTCTAGTTATACTGTCGTTTTGTTTAAAGGAGTTAAGGACTCCGGTTTTCCGAAATTTTTCGGTAGCTAATTTGTAAACGACGCCCCAGGGATTTCGTTTTAGGCCATTTTCCGTGAAAATTATTCCAGCTTTTTTGTTTGGCTTTTTCTAACTTAAGTTTGTATCGGGTTTTTTCTGCTTTCATTTCTTGGTATAGGTATTCCGAGTTGTTCGGGAATCGGTTGTTGTATAGTATCGATTTTTTTCTTAGATAGATCTGTCGAAGACGTTCGATATCGTCTGTCCACCATTCCGGGCGGTGTGGATACGTCCTCCTTTTGCGGCCTAGGGTTTTTAAGATTTGCTCGAGGCCGTCGTAGAGTTCTTGTAGCGCGTTGTCAATTTCGTGTTTACTGTCTAGTTGTGGAAATTTTTCGTTAACTTTTGCGACTAAAGCTTCAGCTTTGGGTTGTAGTAGCTCGTTCTTGATATTTGAGATATCGAGTTTGTAGTTTTCTGTTGGATTCGACGTATGTGGGTTATGTGGAAAAATGTCTAGGATTGTTTCGATTACATTATGATCGGATAGCGTTATGTTTTCTTTTACGGTCCAGCTGATTAGACGGGCTGTTTGCAAATTTTTTATGAGCGTTAAGTCGATATGGCTACTTCCGTTTATCGTTTGAAAAGTGGGGGGGTTTCCTGGTTGATTTATGATTTCGAGTTGATTTTGTAAGATGAAGTTTTCCATCGTGGGCGATTTCGCGTCATTTATCCTATCATGCCATGCCTTCGATCTGCAGTTGAAATCTCCCGTTTCGGGAAGATCCTCTCGGATAGAGTTGATCAGATCTTCTTCCGTCATATTGCTAGGGATGTCAAACACTTGTATTCTCGGCCATTGCTTTGTGATTTTTTCCGCGATTAAGTTCATCTTCTTGAAACTAGCATTTTCGTTCAGATTTAGTAGGGAATCACATTTAGATTCAAGTAGAACCGCGTTGTTTTTTAACATGATCACTTACGTGGTCATACGATCCTAAAAGGATCGATAGGCCGTGCTTTCGCAGTCCCTATGCGTACTGAACATCGGGATCAAGCCAGCTTTTGCCCTTTTGCTCTACGCGAGGTTTCTGTCCTCGCTGAGCTGGCCTTAGGACACCTGCGTTATTCTTTGACAGATGTACCGCCCCAGTCAAACTCTCCGCCTGGCAGTGTCCTCGAATCGAATCAGGCTGGAGGTAAATTGACGAACGAAACACGGCACACATAAGCCGGCGGCTCGAGACGCGGCACGAAACCACGCATTCGAACTTAACCAACGAACATGGAAACTGCGAAACGAAACGTCACTCCGTGTCCTTGGTTCGAGAATACCGTGACAGTCGCCGCCTGTGAGCGAACGACGCACGCGTTTCGCCTTACCGAGTAAGTAAAGAAACGATGAAAGTAGTGGTATTTCACCGGCGATGTTGCCATCTCCCACTTATGCTACACCTCTCATGTCTCCTTACAATGCCAGACTAGAGTCAAGCTCAACAGGGTCTTCTTTCCCCGCTAATTTTTCCAAGCCCGTTCCCTTGGCAGTGGTTTCGCTAGATAGTGGGTAGGGACAGAGGGAATCTCGTTAATCCATTCATGCGCGTCACTAATTAGATGACGAGGCATTTGGCTATTAAAAATATTTATTGTGCAAAAATTTTCGTACAATATATACATGTACCCCAGTAGGTTTTAGTTAACCGAAAGGAGGGGACGCTAACGTTCCTATTTAAAATAATAGTAAATAGAGCAGCAAGCCAGGAGCTGCGGAGAGACTTTACCGCAGGGACCGTCAGGCCGTCCAGCCCCGGGGAGGACGCTTGCCAGTTAAGTTTAGCTGCGTCAATCTCCTCGGGGGTGAAAGGACCGCAGGCCCCCACCGCAGGCCCCCCGCCACTCACCGGCTCGTCGTCCGGAGGTGAGCCCGACCCAAAGATGCCCCCGAAAAGCTCTACGAACTCCTCAATAGGTGGGGTCACTTCAGGGCCCATCTCTTCCACCTTCTTACCCTCCAAGATGGAGGCTATAAGCTTCTTACGGTCCCGGGAGAACAGGTCCTGAGCCTTTTTAAAAGATTCAGCCCTTGGACCGCTCCCCCCTCGGGACCGCCCGTAGTTGGGCCCTGTTCCGCCACCCTTCTTCTTATCCTTCTTCTTCCCGGCGCCCCCCCCTCCACCCGCTGGGATGTGTTCCCGGATCCAACTCTCGATGTACTCTGCCAGAGCCAGATCCCCCAACTCCAAACCCGCACCAGCCAAACCCGCGAGTGCCGGGTCCGCCGAAACGGCGGCCGTTTTGACAGCGCGCAGGTAGCGACTGAACGCCTGAAAGGCGGGGTCCGGAGCTGCGACCTCCGGGGAAGCTGGTAAGCCTCCCAGGTCGGGACTGGATGGCAGAGAACCATCGTCCCGGTTGGTCGACGAGTCAACATCAGGGTCAAGAGGGAGGGCGGAAGAGCTCGCCTCCCCGGGGGCGAACAAAGGGGCGGGACCGCCTCCGGACGCTTGGTTAGGAACGCTCACGTCATAGACAGGAGGGGCCGGGGCCAACAGGGGCCCGCCACCACCAGAGCGCTGAGAAACAATACAAACACAGATCTTACTTTTACAATTAACGCACACAACATTCGCACTGACACTATCACTAACACTGACAGACGCTCCATCTTCTACTGCTGCTGATGCAACCGCGAAGGAATTTCGGGCTGCCTCCAGGTAACTGCGGTATACTGGCTTCCGGCGACGAATGTAGTCGATCTTGGAAGCGGGGAGACCAGTCGCTTCCACCATACGGGCTATGAAGGGTTTGCCCTTTTTGGTGGAGGCCTCGATACCCGCCAGAGTCTCGTATATTTCCCACTCCTGGCTGGGATTATCGAGTCCCCGCTGTAACTCCCGGCTATAGTCGTCCGGGTGGGCCCGTCGTTCGTGTTGACGAACCCCGATGTAGGTGTCGAAAGCCGCATCGCAGAATTGGCATCTTGAACGGTTGCGGGCCTGACCATTAACGATGCCACAGGTTTTCCGATGCCTGGCCAGGCCCGATCTGGTTTTGCACGTGTGGCCGCATTCGCACGCGGCCAGATCGTTGTTGAGGCCGGGGGGCGAGCCCGAATTACTGGGTGCCCTTAGACGTTTTTTGATAGTCCCGGTCCTCTTGAGGGGTCCGGAAGAGGATTTCTCCCCCTCCAGCGTGGGTCCGGAAGGACCCGGATAGGTCGACCCGATCGCACTTGCCTCCGCTTCAGCCATTCCAGCACAAAAGGCTCAAAAAGGTCCTCGGAAGGCTCCTCCGCCAAAATTTCAAAAACGCTCCTCCACCAAAATTTTAACTGGACGGGGGCGTGGCCTCTTGGAAATAGTGGGCGTGGCTTCCCTGGACACGCCCCCTGGGCGTGGCTTCCAGGGGGTTGGTCCCAACCTTGTGGGCGTGGCCAAGGGTGGTGGGCGGGGCTTACCCTAGGCCCTTGTGGCCTGGTACACTGACGTATAAGCGCCCCGACGTCACCACACTGCACCGCGACGACCGTACCAATCGGACGCCACTGACTGTCGCGAAAAATTTTGTGGCCGACTGCACTGTTCCGGCGTCGCGACGAACTACGTTACTTCGACGGCCTAGTTCTTCGGGCGATGGTAACCGCGATAAAATTCATGTCCATCCGAAGTAACTAGACCGATACACACACCGACATTCAATGTTAAGTTTTCGGTTTTAATTCAAACCATAAACGGGGGGGGGGTGTCCACTCTCTAGCTACGCCGCTTCCAAGGGCACCGACTTGGAAAAACCCAACCTTGCCGCAGTGGGTTTGGGAGTGCGGAACGAGTTCTTAGCTACGCTGGGCTCTATGCCCTGCGCACCCACGGGGAGCCACGGGGAGGCGACTCGTCAACTCTCTCCTTTCAGAGGGAGTTCAAGGCTGTACAGTGTGGAATGGGATAGGGGTAGATAGGGAGGGGATTTGGGGTCAGTTAATGTTATATGTCATTCTTTCCTCGATTGCTTCTGCGCAATATCTCGTAAATTTTTCAGGGATTTCTTTTATTAAATGCTGTGTGGTTTCCTGCCAGGTCCAGTTGCTGTCTAGCTCGCCGAGCTGTTCTCTCTCTCTGCTTAGAAGTTTGCAGTTTCTTATGAAGTGTTCTACAGTCTCTTCTTCTTCTCCACATACGCAGAGACTCTCCTGTATCTTTTTCTGCCGTTGCAGGTATGTGTTGAAGTTTCCATGTCCTGTTAGTACTTGTGACGTGTAGTGGTTTATGTCTACAGTGCTCTGTTCCCTTGTCTCTATGTCCGGGAAGAATTCCGCTGTTATTCTGCCTTTTTGGGATTCTGCCCATTGTTTTCCCCATTTTATTTTTATTATTTCTCCGAGTCTTTTATAGGCTTTCCAGGTTGGTACTGTTGGTTCAATTTTGTTACCATCTATTGTTACATGCTTACCTCTGCGTAGACTGTATCTGGCTTGTTTTTCTTCCAGTCTTAGGAGGATCGGTTTAGTGTTCGCGGTTACGCATAGTGCGTCAGTGGAAACGGTCCTATATGCCAGGGTGACCCCTAATAGTGCTTGCCTCTGCGCCGACTCTAATACAGATTTGTCCTTTATTGTTAATTGTTCGCACCATCCTTTCGCCCCGTAGGTTATGATTGGTTCTAGTACGGCTCCGTATAGTGTTTTCATGGTTTTATAATTTAGGCCCCAGGTTTTCCTTGCCTGTCCTCGTAGTTTAGTAGAAAGTATGTGTGTTTTTTGTCTAAGTTTTTGTACGTGCGTGTGCGCTTTTAAATTTTTGTCGAAGTACACTCCTAGATATCGCACGGATTCCGAAAATTTTATGTTTTTATTGTCGATCTTTATTTGAGGGGGCCTTTCTAGCGTGGGTTTTTTTTCCCTCTTCCGTTGTCTGTCCTTTCTTTCTGTTTCTCTGTTTATCGGGGCTTTCCTTTTCCAGTCAACTTTTACAACTAGGCCCTCAGTTTTGTGCGCTGCTAGTTTAAGCTTTGACTTTTTGCACCACTCCGCTATTAGGTCAACCGCCTTTTGTCCTTTGGCTTCGAGTTCTACCCTGGTGTCTCCGGTTACTATTTTTGTGACGTCGTCCGCGTATGCCACTACTCCATCTTCGTCCAGGTTATCCAATTCTCTTAGTAGGTCGTCAAATTGTATATTCCAGAGTGAAGGCCCCAGCACCGAGCCTTGTGGGCATCCTCTTTCTGCTTTTTTTATTAGTTCCTCGTTCTCACCTACTTGGATCCCCACCGTTCTTTCGTGTAGGTAGCTCCCGATGAGTCTGTAGAGATTCCGAGGGCATTCTTTGTCTTTGAGCCCTTTCATAATTTGTGGCCACCATACATTATCGAAAGCTCCCGCTATGTCGAAGAAGATCGCGATTGCATATTTTTTCGTGGCGTTTTCAATTTTTTCTTTAAAGTTGACTATGGCGTCTTCAGTTGATTTTTGGCGTGTAAACCCGTATTGCGTCGATGACATTTTTCCGTCGTTCGTCACTTCTTCGTCAATTTTATTTTTTATTAGTTTTTCTAATGTTTTTCCTAGGAGGGAGAGTAGGCATATCGGTCGGTACGACTTTACGTCTGTCGGATCTTTATCCTTCGTTTTTAGGAATGACCGCATGATTCCATGCTTCCAAACCCTGGGAAAGACCCCAAATTTCAGGCATCCGTTGTATACTTGCAGCATTTGCGCGGCGATTATTTTGTGCGCCCTTTTTAGTATTACGGCGTCAATTAAGTCCGACCCGGGTGCCTTTCTATTTCCGAATGATCTTACCGCCTCCCGCAGCTCTCCTTCGGTGAATTCTTCAGTGTCTGCTGTGTGAGGTGTTATTTTTTGTTGGTTTCTAATGGCTTTCTGTTCCTCCGTATCTTGGCTTTCAATGTCATCCGGGATTAGTTCTTGCAGCATATGTTTCGCCGTTTGCTGTCCATTTTCCGTTTCTCCTTTCCTTGTTTGTAGGGTGGTTAGCACTTGCGGTAGCGGAACTTTTTCAGCAAGTAGTTTGTATGTTAAACCGTACGGGTTTTCGTTGCCGTCATTACTGACAAACTCCCGCCAGCTCTTTATTTTGGCCTTCATAATTTGCTTTTTATACTTTTTCTCGGTTTCGCGAAGGGTCCGCTTTAGCGTGATTTTATCCTCAGGGACTTCCTCTTGATGGTACTTTCGCCTGATTTTATTTACTTCTCTTTTTAGGATTGTAAGCTGGGCCGTCCACCAGGGGTTGGATTTCCTAAAGATTTTTTTTCTTGGTATCGCAGTTTCACACGCGTTTACAATTGCATTTGTTAAATGTGTTGCCGCTTTCTCTGCATCCTCTTCGCTTTCTATTTCAGTTTGCTTTTTGTTTATTTCGGTGGTCAGCGCATTTTCAAATGTTTCCCAGTTTGCCCTTTTGGCGTTGAATCTGCGTGTGGGTGCTTTTTGTTTGTTGTCTGTTGTTCGGTCTGAGTTGAGTTTTATTAATATGGCACGGTGATCGCTGGAGGTCCAATCAGATTTTATTTCCCATGTTGGTTTTGATTTTATTAATTTGGGGGTTCCTATTGTTAAATCTATGTATGACTATGCCCTGGGGGTGATAAACGTCGGTCCTTGGGCCGGAATGTTTAATATAGCGTTTTCGGAAGCCATGATTTCTTCTACTAGGAGTTCTCCGTTATGGTCCGTCCTATCGCCTCCCCATAGAGGTGAGTGTGAGTTTGCATCGATACCGATAACAACTTTCTTCCCTCTTAGTCTCTGTAATACAGTTTTTAG